CTGAGCAGGGAGCCCGATGAGGGACTCGATCCTGGGACTCCAGGATCATGACCTGAGCCGAAGGCAGTCACTTAACCAACTGAGCCACCCAGGCGCCCAGTCCTTGTAAAGGTCTTAACAGTCCTTGCAGATAGCAGGCATCCAATATCTATTAGGCTGGGTAAATGGGTATATGCAGAGGTACGAAGGTATCATAAAGTATTTATATTTATTAAAACAAATAATTGCCCTCTTTAGTTTTAATTGTAAGATACAATATGTTTTAATTGTAAGAGCTAGCCATTTATTGGGCAATTACTTTGCGCAAAACACTGAACTGATAAGTATTCAGGATAAAGAACACAAATCATGTTCACTGAAAAGAACGATAAGTAGACATCATTTGCAGACAACAGTAGAAAAAGAAAGATTCTCTTCTTCTGCAGTCTTTTGCATGATGAATTTAGAAGTTTTAAAAGTTTGCATTATGAATCTTCTACCCAAAATAGAGAGAGCAGTATAATGAACTCCCACATACCTACCCTCTAAAATTATCATAATTTTGCCTTTCTTGGATGACTTAAAAGAGTTCTTGGTACTCAAAGACAATTTTGAAAGTAATCTTTGTGTAAACTAAATGACGCTAAAACAATTTCCCTACTCTGTACCTATGAAAAACACTAGTAAGATTATCAATTGGTTTCTTCATGAACCTAAATAGTTGAATTTTAAACTCTTTTATACTGAAGTTACTCACCAATGCAGGAAACCATAGTGCTTTCTTTTTATCCAAACTAACGTAATCTACACATACAACTTTTCCTAGTAGTTCATCGATCTGTTTCCTATCATCCTCATCTTCATCACTGGAGGATGAAGACGACTCTTCCTCTGGTCTAGGGAAAGAAAAAAATAAGATATTTCCATTTATCTTCACAAAGAATGAGCATACCAAGTTGATAAATACAGGTAGTCTAGAAATCTTACCTCATTTTCTAAAACCTACAGAATGGCAAATTTAAATTTTTAAACCATTTTCTAAATTTCTAAAGAATAACAAAAAGGGTTATCATTAGAAGGAAGCACATCATTTTCCTAAACATCCTTTGCGTTTATTTAGTGCTACTCTAAAAGGTTAAGGGGGGAGAACAGAACAGAGTAACAATGGTCCCCAAATTCTCAAAAAGCTGAAGGCCCTATACGAAACATCCCAGTACTACACTAAAATGTATTAGATCCAACTCTCAGATTAAGGAAGTTCTAAAGATAGTAATTTTATACTTCCAGTACAAAGCTAATTTTAAAAAGGGGAAGAAAGGTCTTTATTTATTGGGGGCTTAGGGCGGGAGAGAAGACAATCTGATAAGAGATCACCAATGCTATCCTTAATATCAAATATACACAAACCAGGAATTGATAAAATGTACAATACTGTTATTTTGTATTATGTTAGAAATTCCTTTCAGTTTACATTGTATATTGGACTAATAAATTAGAAAGAAGTTCACTGTCAGCAGAAAAAGGAACTATCTAAAACCATCCACTTGTTAGACAAAAGCAGAGCAAAAAGTAAAACTAAAAAGGAAAAAAAAAACATAAAACAAACAAAAATTCAGCTCTGAATCTGGTTCCAAGAAAGCCCACAATCAGTGTTAAAGAAAGATTCTAACAAGTGAGTGCTCAAAATGCGCAGAGTAAGCAAAGACACTAAGAAATGAATAGACTACAATGTACGTTCTTTTTTACAAATTAAATAGAAGAATGGTTAGTATTAATTACCTATAGGGATGAAAACATTTTTGAGATAGTTGGCAATGACCAAGTTCACTGACAAAAAATGTAAACTGACAGATTGTTTTAAAACCTTAAACATGATTTAACTATTCGGTTGACTGGGACAAATCTAATATACTCTAAAATTTGTCTTGATGCCTTTCCAAAGGGATGGCAACATAATGTCACTCCTTTATATATTTCAACATAATTATAAAAAAAGCAAAAACTACTATAACAACACTAAACATTTTAGAGTGATATGGGAAGTATCACTATTTGATTTCAATGATCAAGGGACTTAATAATTGTCCCCTGGTAAAAACAAAGAAAATTTTCAAGTTTGCTGCTGAGAACTACTGTATTTCAAATGGCACTTAAAGCAATTTAAAGTAGGGACATGGAAAGTAAGTAGGAGGTAGGAAAAACAAATATACCTTCATATTAGCAAAGCATAAAACCTTAAAAATAGGCACACAGCTTGGGACAGTAATGAAAGACATCCCAAGTCTGAGTTCTAATTGATTAGAAGTGTTTCTCAAGGGCAATGACTTTTATCTCTTCACTTTCTAATGACTATGGAAGACATCCAACCTTAAAACCATAATTACTGCTTTTCTAAAGAAGCCATAAAAAACTTATTCAGCTAGGATTGAATGGACACTCTTCATGTCATTATCATTAGCAAGATAAAAGTCCCAATATCACGGATAACATATATCAAATCTGTAAAACAGAGAGAGAGAAAACTGGGCTTTATTTGCCTAACAAAGTCATCTGCATCTTTATGAAGATTCTCATTTCTTTCTTAAGACTTAACAAGTGTGAAGACTTCAGACATCAGAAAGTGACATATAAAAAAAAAGTGACTGCCTACATAAAGCACCTATCCACCTTTCATATTAAATGTCCAAGTTCCACTCTAAAACCATTGCCCATTTATGGACTAGATTTCCTGTCCACCCCCTACCCTAACCCTGGCAACTGAAGACTTTGTTCCAAGAGTACTCATTTCTCCTGTATCAATTTTTCTGCCTCTACTACATTGAGTCCCATCAGCATGCTGTTATTTCCATCAATATGCTATTATTTCTCCCACTTAAAAAAAGAATCCCTTGACCTCACCTTCTCCACCAGCTACTGCCACCTTGTTTCTCAACTCCCCTTTGCAGCCAAACAGCTTGGAATGCTCTACTCCTCGACATCTGGAAACGTTTTGACTCCTCTAAGTCTCTGTTCAAATGTCATTTCAGTTAGGTGACCCTGACCATCTCATTCAAATTTACAACCTGCCTGCCCCAATCTCTCGTCACTTTTATTCTTTACCCACAGCATTTACAAATCCATCATACTATATAATCTACTTAGTTCTTTCTTACGTTTTCTCTCTATTGCCCATCTCCCCTATATGAGAGAATATAAGCTCTAAGGGCAGAGATTTTATCAATGCCTGTTTTATTCACTGATATATCCCAAGTACCTGAACAGTGCTTGGCACAAGCATAGATATTCAATAAATATTTGTTGAGTAAATAAATGAACTGAATAGATTTATTTCTTTCTACGATGGTTATTTTTAATTTTATTTTTCCTGAAATCACAAAATGTATACAAGCAGTATAATGTACACAACCAGTTAAAACCACACCACTATATATACCTAAGGCTCCTTTAACTTTTCCTCTTGGAGGAATTTAGCCAAGAAATAATTTACACAAGACACTCAATAAACTGGTGAACTAAAATAAATGAGCATCAAAAATATTTTAAGGGGTGCCTGTGTGGCTCAGTTGGTGAAGCATCTGCCTTCGGCTCAGGTCATGACCCCGGGGTCTTGGGATCGAGCCGCACTTTGGGCTCCCTGCTCAGCAGGGGAATCTGCTTCTCCTTCTCCCTCTGCCCCTCCCCCTGCTGTGTGTTCACGCACTTTCTCTCAAATAAATAAAAATAAAATGTAAAAATAATAAACAATAATTTTAAAAAACATTTTAAGGGAGCAAATACAGAGCAAGCAGAGAACCTGCTTGGTTTTATTCCCCTCTGACAGCGTTGCTGCTTCGGTGGTAAGGTGGTATTTGTTTACAGAGCCAGAACAAAATAATGCACTGTTTGTGACATAACATCTGATGCTGCCACTGGAAACAAAGCTAACTACTCGGGAATGTTTACCACCACAGACTAATAGCTAATTATTTAAGGGGACTGCACATCACTATTAATTGTAAATTAATTGTAAATTAAGTAGGAAGAACTTTAGACAAGACGTGTGCCAAAGAACAGCAAATGACAAGATGCAAACAGGAAACTGACTTCAATCATCCTTATAATTTCAGGCAAGTAACTCAGTTTCAAATTTTGCACACTAAATTAAAAAACCTGTATTTAGTCAGTATGAGAAAGTCTAACGAGGTACAGCTCCTTAGAAATATGGACATGTATATACTTACCAATAAAAGGGTTTTATTTTTTCCCCAATTTTTAATCAAGAAGGAAACTAGAATCAAATTCTCGTCTCAAAATAAAACAGCAAACAATAAAAGAAAAATCTTCTAGAATTAGTGGTACTGGTTACATAATCTGTGAATACACTAAAAACACTGCACACTATACACTTTAAAAGGGTGAATTTTGTTATGTTAATTATATCTCAATGAAAAAAAATTTTTTAAAGATCTGCAGACCTAAAAACACCAGGTACACATCACTACTTTACTGGATAAACTTAGTACTGTCAATAGGTAAAATCCCTCCCCACAAATAATCACTAACAAGAACCATTATAAGCTTTCTTATGCTTTATTCTTTTTCTGAAGGAGAAAAAAAGTAACAGCAAACAGACTGATTTCTACTGTAGCAGCTGCATATACACTTTTGCCAGGTTATTGGAAAACACTTTTGAGAGGTGAGGGTACACAAATGTTTCTGTAATTTCAGGTAATCTATTCTTTAGGCAGAATCAAACAAAACACCTGTATATGATGGTTAAATTATAAGGGCAAAATTCAATCAACTTATACATTGAATGATCAGTAACTTTCTTTAAAAAATTAAAAGAGAATGATAATCTTAAGAAAATAACTTCAACATATTAGAATTTACTAATTAAAGGTAGAATATAAATAAAACTCAATTGAAGGAAGGTGTCAAAAATAATTTTTGACTAGCTGGAGGCAGATTAACTGGTATGTGCATTAACAGTTGTTAAAAGAAAATAAAAGTAGTGATATACTCATTAACAATAGAGTCTGGGGAATCCTGGGAAGAGATAACCTTATTTATCTCTGTACAAAATTAAATTTTAAATGACAATCAGAGAATCAAAATGAAGACTTTTTTAGTTGAGTAATGGAAGAGGAAATGAAGGTCAGATAAATAACCGTAAGGTCCAGGTCCAAGACTTTGTTGTAGGAAATCACTCAGAAAGGGGTGAAAGAACTTTGAGGAACTGTAATTAAGGAGAAGGGAATTTCCAACTGTGGTACTTGCCTGTGGTGTCTACATACCATGATATTAAGATCTCTTGGCAATGAGAATGACCACCATAGTGAGGGGGAAGGAAGAGCAACTAAAACAAGATTACAGATGAGAGGGGCTTCGTTTCCTACAATAGTTAATTCTCAACCTCTGATCTGCCTTCTTACCTTGCACATATGCTATACAATCCCAACAGCAAATCTTTCATTATACAGAGATTCTCAACAGGAAAATCACTAACTTAGAATGTTTGCGGTAGTCTTTAGAAAGCAAAGATCAACTTGCTCAGTGACAAATGCATGCTTTAGTCTCATCTAAAAGGGAGACCTCAACTTATAGCTTTTTTAATACATCATAATTCTGGGTCACTTTTGAAGATCAATCTAGGTGATAATCTATAAATTATCTTACTTTAAATTTATTTTTACACGTGTAGATGATAGTTGAAGAAAGATAAAACATGTCTAAATGTTAGATGCAATATTTTTAAAAAGAATTTTTGGTAGATACAAAAACTTTTTCCTACAATATGCATATAACATAATATGGAAATGTTCTAAAAAATTCAAATAGTATAGCCCAAAACAGTTCCACTTATCAGACATAAACACTGTAAGCAGAATTTTTATATACTCACATATAAACATTTTTATGAATGAAGTCACGTCACATACTGGTATTTCATGAAAATTTTTGCATTCAATATATGATGTTTCATATCTAGTATTTACACAGTGTTTCCTATATAAATACTTTAAGGATATGAATTCATTTAATCTTCGCAACAACTCTGAGAGATAGGTTATACTATTATCTCAATTTTACAGATGAGAAAATTGAGGCATGAAGACTAATCTGCCCAGGGTTATATAGCAAGGAAGTGGCAGAGAGAGTTATTCACACCCAGGCCACCTGGCTCCACAGTTCACACTCTTAACAATCAAGCCACACTGCCACTTTCGAAAGCTAGAGAAGCAGAAATCTTCACTAATGAAATAATTTTACATTAAATACACCCCACCTCACTATTCTGACATCACCAATCATAATTAGAAGTTGACTACAGAACTATGGAAGACTCTAATGAGCAATGGTAGGTAAAATTTTAATACATAATTGAAATCACTAATTTTCAAAGAGACAGCAAAAGGTTTATCTTGTAAGTGCTTCAGTGAATATTCTACGGCAATAAAATATCCCTCTGGAAAAACTGATAACATTATTAGATCACAGTAGCATCAAATAATCACAACAGGATTCCTTCATATGAATAATGCTGTCATACATTTTTCATTTATTTTTCTTTCTGGATAGAACAAGTCATATGCAGAAGAGTAAATAATTGTTATACCCTGAATACCCTAAAGATAATCAAGTCATCAGCAAGCTAAATCACAAGTGAGAGAAATTATTCACTTAGTAATTAACTGAAAAACATCTTCTAAAAATTTCAGAGAGTTAAAAAAAAAATGCATGGTCTGAATCACAAGTATAGTAGGAAAATATTAATATGAAATATTTTTTCAATGCAAGGATTAGTCTTTTAATTTCCTCCCTCAAAGGAGTCATTATTTATTTACTGTTAGAACTAATTTAGAAAGTAACTGAAATACTACTCTACCTAAGTAAGAGTCAATCAGTTGAATGGGAAAAGGCCCATAGAGCATGGGTGAGTTCAAGTCCTTGTCCTTTCCTTCCTGTGTTCCTTGGATTACTTACTGTCCCTAAGCCCAATTCCCCCAGTTTTTAATATGGGTAAAAATAATACCTATCTTCATGAATTTGCTCTAAGGCTAAAAGTAAGCAATATGAGAGATAGCGCTTACCCAATTTCTATCTTCAAAGCTCAGCCACAATTAGATTTAATATGTGATTCTAAATACTGAATGAAAGCATTCACTTACACTAAAGATGTCAATAATTCAACCCAACATTTATTTTTAACAGCCATTCTGACAATATTTGGGCTTAGACATGTTAAAATTTTTTCAATTTTATCCAAGTGAAATGTTCAAAATTGTTTTTAAAATAACCTCCAATGGAATACATTAAAATCCCACCCCTTCCCATTTTCTTTGCCTCCTATGGAGGCAACTATGTTTTTAACTGTTTCAGCTATTTCTTTGATAGTTACTACCTTATCTCTAAATAATACTCTTATACTAATTTATACATTGTATACATTATTCTGTTGAATTCCTATTGTTACTAGGACTTAATTTTATATTTAAGCCACCTCCTCTCCCTCCATCTTACTAAGTTTTCCTTTCTGATGTAATTTTCAGGGTGAGTTACTTAATGCCTTTGCTATTTTTTCTCTATTTGTTATCATATTATCTTTAATTTCCCCCCAATGTTCCATTATATTAGGTAACTGAGTCCACCTTTTTAATAGAGACTTTCATTCTTCCACTCTGCATTCAATTGGCTACCAGCATCTAGTATTACAATGGAGAAGTCTGATGCTATTCTGCCTCCCAGTCCTTCACAATAAATTATTTTTCTTTCTGTAACTCTTTGAAAATTGTTTCTTTATCTCTGATGACCCTATGATCCTGTGATCCTTTTTAATTTAGAGTCTTCTGGAGCCTAAGCATGGCCCATTAAAAGTAATTTGTTAAATAGGTAGAATATATGTCACAACTGTAGGACATGAAAATAAGGAAGACGGTTTCTGTCAAGGAGATTAAGATTATTAGGAAGAGAAAACAAATACTACAATGACAATAACAGGTGAAATACTGTTTTTGACATTAGATAAATGCAAAGAATTTAAGGGGTTCAGAGGAAAGAAAACAGGTCTGTTTTCAAGGGAAGAGGAGGGAGACAAAACAGTTCACATAAAGGTGGGAGCATTTCTGTTGGTGATTGAATGAGTGGGACAATGACATGTATGGGTGGATTTGAGAAAGAAAAAAAAGAGCATGAATAAAAGCATGGTATCAGGAAAACAAAGGATGTATTCAGCGAACGTTGACTGGTTCCATTCTGACTACAGCATCAAGATACATGTAGGGAGAAATGGGAGGTAGATATACAACTGTTAAGGTTGGCTGAGCATGGAGAATCTCAAGCACCCGTGCCAAGGAGTCTGAAATTACTATGAGATCCAGTTAGCATTTTGCAAAGTACAATTTCAAATTAGTAACTCTTAAAACAATACTAGAAGGAGAAATGAATTTAGGTTCAACTAACAGTTATGAAAATGGACTTACATATGATTAGATCTTCTTCCTCTATTTGTTTTCTTCCCTATGACAGGAGTGCCAAAATGTTCAGGGTTGGTGAGTGGGAGCTGGTCTAATGTCTGTGGGTAAGAACATAAACCCATCAAAGTTACGACGTAGCAAGTTCTTTTTCCCTTTTAAACCAAATCAGTTTAAGAATATGCTTAGATTTGTAGATTAAAAACTGCCCCAAGGAAGACTAAAATACAACTTTCCTAAAGAGAGACAACTGTCATTTCAAAGATATTAGAATAAAGATGAATGAACCCATTATTGGGGGGGGGGGAGTGAAAAGAAATTCAGTTGTTCTTTCCTCATGGTTTCATTATCTATTTGAAGGCTGAAAGACTTCTAAGAATGATTAAAATACAAAACAAAACACAGCTCAGTAGAAAATAGACTGGAGAGATACGAAATTTATATGTAAGGACCTAGCACCTGCATTGGAGCCAACTGCAAATAAAATTTCTCTTTGTTCAAAGGGAATCATAATCCATAATATAAAATTCTTAGTAACAAACAAAATTATCCAAAAAAAAGCATCAACTGTTTGAAAAAAGGCTTTAGGTAGGATATATTATTACTCTGCAAACATTTTCTGCAATAAACCTTTTTTAAAAAATATGTAAATATTGACTTTTCTAAATTTAATTTTCCCTTCCTTTTTAATCTGCAGCATCCAATACGGTGCTTGGTATGAAGATAATGATCGGTAAATAAACATGTCTTGTTGTCAACTGACAGTTCATGTCAAACCCTTTGTCCCTCACCCCATCCTAAAATAATGATTTCCAGGTGAGGAATTGGTTGTTGGTTAAAAGCAGAATGAAGGAAAAAGGGATCCTGGAATGATTCCCTTCATTTCTCAATATCAGACACTTCTTAGATTTTTCTTGTCATTATTTCCTGAAAAGATTTATATAACTATAAAGTTAAGGTCTCAATCTGAAGATGCTATCCCAACTAACTGAATTCTCTGAATATCAATTTTGATAATCTTACTTTTTCTGCCTTTTTAAGATCTTCCACACAGTTGCTATTCCTTTCATCCAACAGAACCTCTGCTATTACAGATAATTTCATGAATACCAGGGGAACTAAAGACCCCACAAAAACTGTCAGGATGGGAGTGAGGGTGAGAAACTACTTTGGATAAAGACTTCTCAAAGTTACAAACTAGGGTATTATATGAAAGGGTATATATCAATTTAGATTTAAAAAAAAAAAATCAGACTATCTAAATATAAACTGTTAATATTTAAAACTTTTATTTTTAAAACAGATAATTTTGTTGAAACAATGATGAACTAAAATGTGAAAGGGGAAGCATATTAATAATCTTGCATAACTTATTAGATTGCATAACTTCTGAGAATATCTGTAAATGTACCTGAGGTACACAGATCTATGTATCCAACAACAAAGAATACTGATATAGGTAAAAGGTACTACCCATAAAACATAAAGATCAATTCCTTCAGAAGACAAAATATATTAACTTTTTATAGGGCATAAAATCTAATCTTTCAAATCTAGCTTAAGTCAGGCATTTAAAAGATATTTAGAGGGGCATCTAAGTAGCTCAGTCACTTAAGCATCTGAATCCTGATTTCAGCTCAGGTCATGACCTCGGGGTCCTGGGATCGAGCCCCATGTCCAGCTCCACACTCTGCGGGAAGTCTACTTGAGGATTCTTTCTCTCCCCCACCCTCTGTTCCCTCACTCACTCTCTCTCTCAAATAAATAAAATTTTAATAAATAAATAAATAAAAAAATCTGGAGGCAAAAGTTGGTCCAAATACAGTAATATACCAAACAAAACCTCTTTAGAAGTCACTTGTCAGGGGTGCCTGGGTGGCTCAGTCGGTTGTGTCTGCCTTCGGCTCAGGTCATGATCCTAGGGTTCTGGAACTGAGCCCCGCATCAGGCTCCCTGCTCAGCGGGGAGTCTATTTGTCCCTCTCCCTCTCTGCTTCTCACCCCTGCTCGTGCGCTCTCTCTCTCTCTCACTCTGCTCTCTCTCTCAAACAAATAAGTAGAATCTTTAAAAAAAAGTCACTTATCATTAACTCCTAATTATGCTTCCCAAGAGCAAAAAATTTCAAGGTACTATATTTGGTAAACAGAGAAAATAAATTAATCTAGATTCACTTTCGGTCAAGCTAACAGAAGGATTAAACGCCCCGCCTCACTCCCCTAAAATTAAGATTGCTCTTGTAAAAGCAGAGACTTCTATTAAGTACTGTGATTTCTATTTTAAGCATCTGGTATTCACCAGTTACAGGAAAGAAAATATCCAGGATTTCCGATTTCTCTCCCTATGTAATAAAGAGTTAGAACAGTAAGAAGCCGTATCTCTGTCCCTGGCCTCAAACCATGTCCAGGAAGGTAGGAGCACCTTTATTTCAAGTGAGAGAAAAGACTGCGGGGAGGGTAGAATGTGTTGCGTCAAAACCTAAAGAGCAAAAAGCAGAGACTCCTAGCTATACTGAAGCTAAAAGAAAATTCCATAGGCCTAGGGGAAACATGCCTATGTCCCTGTTTCTTAAATGGGCTATAGGAAATATGGAGCTGAGATTTTACCTAACTTTTCTTTAGAGTTTTCAACTGCACGTAGTAAATGCACAGCAAATACCAGCTGATGAAACTACTTCTGAATTATATGCTCTGCAGAAATGCCCCAACCCCCGGGCAGTGGCAACACTCTCACTAAGCTGCTTAGGGCTAGAATCAGTGATGTTAGTGCTGGAATTCAGACTGACGGAAGTGCTGTTGTGATCTCTTATTACGGAAATCTTTTAAATTTAAGTCTTTAAGTATGTAGCTTATTAATGGAATTAGTGACCCCAAACACTGCCAGTGGCTTTTTGCTCAAAGACCAAAGTTATTACTGATAATAACAATGCTCTGAATAATTTTTCAACAAATTAAAAATGTTTTTTGAAAATATGAAAAATATCAAATAAAGGGAAGGAATACACAGATGGCAGATTAAATACACTCCTGGCCATGCTATCACAGAACTCAGTACATTTATAATCTTAAAATATTTGATTGTTTGATTAATGCTTTTTCTCCTCCAACAGATGGTAAGTTACTCGAGGATAAATTCCATGTCTACTTGGCCTATCCTTGTGTCTCCAGTACCTAACATAACACCTGGCTTATGAGAATGGGATATGGAACAATACACCAGTATTCTAAGTACCCTCTAGCAAAACATAGAATCTAACACATATAGACACACACAGTAAAAGTGGTCCACCGTGAAGATGAGAAGGATACACTGAACTACTTGCTCATATTGCTTCAGCCTTTACACTACAAATGTCTTATGAACTACACAATTCTCCTATAAAAAAAAAGTATTTTAGATATTTTAGATATTTCTCTGGATTAAATAAATAAGGCACATGCCTTCACTAAGCACATGAAAAATCAAGTCTTCAAAGCCCCCATATTCACTCACTGACTACTATAACTGTACACATACTCTAAGGGAAATGAAATTATTTTTAAGAATTATATAAACTTAGGGGCGCCTGGCTGGCTTAGTCGGAAAAGCATGCAACTCTTGCTCTCAGGGCTGTGATTTTGAGCCCCACACTGGGTGTAGAGATTAAATAAATAAACATAAACAAAATTACATAACTTATAAAGAACTGTTACTTTATCACTGCAAAAAGCCAAAATCACTGCAAATTCTAAAGCTGTATTTCCTATATTTAAACCTTCACAATTAATTCAACAAATATTTACTGAAGGCTTTTGTATAGAAAACACTGCTGGGAAAAGAAGAGCCTATCAAAATGACAAAAAGATGGCTATTACCCCCAAAACAGTTTAAAATCTTACAGGGAAAATAAGAAAAGTAATAAAAAAAAGACCATCAAATAAGAATAAGAGAAGTGCCAAAGGATCAAAGGATAAGGGATCAAATCTGGTTAGAAAGCTCATGAAAGACCTCATGGAGAACATTAAGAGGAGCAGTACTCAGCAGAAACCAAGAAAAGAATATGAATCATAATCTGAAAATACGAAGTAGTCTTATAAGACAGAAGTACAGGGAAATGGGGCACCTGGCTGGCTCAATCAGAAGAGCATGTGACTCTTGATAGTGGGTTGTGAGTTCAAGCCCCACATTGGGCATAGAGATTACTTAAATAAAAACTTAAAAAAAAAAGGGGGAAAAGAAAAAATAAGTCCAAGGAAATGTTACAATATGAGACTGAAAAAAATAGGCTGGAATCATAATACACAGAACCTGTCCCAAATTCTGAACTGGATTAGGAATTCAATTATTTAAGGGAAAGGAAAAAAAATATATATATATATATTTTAAAGATCTTATTTATTTATTTGACAGAGACAGACACAGCGAGAGAGGGAACACAAGCAGGGGGAGTGGGAGAGGGAGAAGCAGGCTTCCCGCGGAGCAGGGAGCCGGATGCGGGGCTTGATCCCAGGACCCTGGGATCAGGACCTGAGCTGAAGGCAGATGCTTAATGACTGAGCCACCCAGGTGCCCCAAGGAAAGTATTTTCAAAACAAGAAAACATAAAATAAAGTTTAATAGTTTAATAAATAATATAAAAACATCCCCAAAGAAACACTGTTCTAAATAGTGACAAGAAGAAAAGTAATCATGGTTTGGCCACAGTGTGCATTAATTAATATTTATAGGCTGGATTATAGAATATAACACTTTAACAATACGTCCATTTTTAAAATTCTGGATTGCAAGCTACTGATTTACAAAACTTTGTGAACCCTCCCTCCATTCTTACTAACTTAACACCTTTCAATTCTAGAGCATGGCTTTGGTACTAGAAAATACTGGTTTCAGAACCAGCTCTGACCATCAATTTCACCATTTGTAAATTGAAGATAATAATGCTATCTACTTCATAGTGTTATGAATGTGATGATGTAGGTAAAGCAGTGAGCAAAGTCCCTGGCAAATATAAGCACTTCATTTATTCATCTGACTACCATTTATTCAGCTCCTACTCTATGCCAGGCACTGTCCAAGGAACTGGGAATGAGTGGTGAAGAAAACATATAAAATCCCCACCCTTGTGACACATTCTAGGGAGGGAGGCAGACAAATAACTAAGCACATACATATCCTGATGTCAGAGAATGACACAAGCTATGAAGAAACCTCGGTCAACCTAGAAGGATTAAAAGGATGGCAGGGACTAGTGAAGAAAGGGCAGTCAGGCAAGGCATCTTTGAGGAGGGGCTATAATAATGTCAGCCAGCAGCAGCAGAAGCAGTAGTAGTAGTAGTAGTTGTTAGGGACTGCTTACAGTAGCTACAGATCCTTTCATGATGAGGGGGTTCAAGTGGATTATAAATGGAACATCTCTTTTCTACAATTATTTAAAATTAGAGTCTACATAAAAGTTGCCTAAAGATAACAGTTAAGCAAGATCATTGAATTTTCATTGTGGACAAATGCTAAAATATTCTTAGAAAAAAAAAAGGATATATCACCTGGTACTCAAACACAAGGCCTTAAAAACAGGGTTCACAGATTACATGATAATGGTATTAATGAATTTTCCTGATTAACAAGTAAGTTGCTTGAGTTGAGTAAGAAAAATATGCTCCCCCTAATACAAAATATGAAGACACAGTCATTCATTAAATGATTACTTACTTCACTTTCAGCAAAATGCCTCTCTCCTTTCAGGCACAGTGAAGATCGTCTCAGTGTCTTCTCATCTCCATCATCAAAAACTAGGACAGGAGGTAAAATTGGAAACTACTGAAGGATTTTTCAGATTAACACGATGATATAAATTATCATTTAATTTTCTGAGTGCAAACAGAACCAGTGTTTCAGAAGATTATTTGAAATTCAGTTCAGATTTTATGTTTTCTAACTGACAACTCCAAATACAGAATATGCTTTCCAATTTCTAGCAATAAGGAAATAATATACCTGAAATGAAAACATCTTCCCTGACCCAGAACACACCAAAAAAAATAAGAAGTTAGCATTTTAGGAAGAAATAATTTAAATGCTAATGAACCCTTCTCAACATGGTAAAGGAAAGGCAAGTTTTCCAACTGGTAAATACTGACAGATTTACCGAGAAAACAAAAAGAATACAAATGTATTTATTCAGACTGCCCCTAAAAAGTTACTCTGCTTTTACTATTTAAAGCAGGGTTTCTAAACCTGAGCACTACTAGCATTTTGGGGCAGATCATTCTTTGTCGCGAAGGGCTATCCTGAACACGACAGGACAGTCAGCAGCTTCCCTGGCTGCTAGCCACCGGATGCCACTAGTGGCTCCGCATTCGCGACAACCAGAATGTCTCCGGACATTGCCAAGTGCTCCCCACTGAAAACTACTTATTTAAAGTACTAAAATGTTCCAGCAAATTTACTGTAAGTTTATGTGTACACAGAATATATGTATATTTTATACTGTAATTTTAGAGCATATACTTAACATTCCTCGCAAATCATGGGGAAAAAATACATCTATTCTAAATAAAGTTACCAGGCTTTGATTTTAGAAATAGCAGTTTTTACCTAAGTAACGAAATTAGGTTCTTATATATTAAGTGAAATTTCATGTGAGACTGGATAAATAACTTTTAGTACAATGTTTTAATGTTGTAACTAAAATATTCAACGAAAAAAATGCCACATTTATGAGACTGACTACCATACATAATTACCATCTAGACTTACTGCACAGAACATGCTCACAGTCTTGTCACCTACATAAAGTCAAATTTTCCTGTCTCAAATTAAAATTTCCCCTCTCTTCACCAAGTTTTTCCTCACCCCACAAAAATATAGAGAAAACTCATCTATACTATTTCAAAGGTCCATCAAATTTTGACAACATCAAAGACATTTTAACTAGGTGTTTACGCTCACCTATGAGGTCATTATAGAGTAAGAATTATTCCCATTCAATAAATAATACCAGGATAATTGGCTATTAATTGGGGGGAAAAATATGACATTTCAGAATGTCCAAAAAATAAAAAATAAACTGTAGATGAAATAAACAGCTATTTGCAAAGCAAAAATAAAACTATAAACTGAAGAATACAATGGAAAATAAATTTATAACACTGATGGAAGGAAGCCCCTTAAAACAAGATTCAAAACTAAAACTACAAAGGAAAAGGTGACCACAGGAAAAAGTGACAATATGAAAACTGATAGTGAAAATAAAAGTAAATAGGAGAAAAATACTTGCAACTAAGGTAGCCAGGGGTTAATATTCAGAATATACAAAGATCTCATGTCCTAAAAATAAGAAAATGTAACCTCCCAACAGGACAAGGGGGAGACTGGGAAGATACTATAAGATGGTAATTCAAAAGGGGCGCCTGGGTGGCTCAGTCAGTTAAGCCTCCAACTCCTGGTTTCAGCTCAGGTCATGATCTCATGGATCTTAAGATCAAGCCCCATGCCAGGCTCTGCACTCACGAGGGAGTCTGCTTTAAAATTCTCTCCTTCTGCCCCTCCCCCCACTCACGCATGTGAGCCCTTTCTCTCTCTAAAACAAGTAAGTCTTTAAAAAATAAAAAAGATGGAGGGGCGCCTGGGGGGCTCAGTTGGCTAAGTGTCTGCCTTCAGCTCAGGATGGAGCCCCACATCGGGCTTCCTACTCAGCAGAGAGTCGGCTTCTCTCTCTCTCTCTCCCCTCCTCCCTCTGCCTCTCCCCTCCTCCCTCTGCCCCTCCCCACTGCTCGTTCTCTCTCTCAAATAAATA